GTGCAACCAAGAAAAAAGTTTCATTTCTAGCCCTGAAGAATGAACAATACTTGTTCAGCTCTTATTAGTCATAGTTCAACATTTACTAATGCATTATTAACATTTAAACTATTCCTTGTTAACATTCGTTAATCCAGTGGTATCCCAAAGTATAGGTCATAAGACAATGATGAGGGGGTCGCTTGGTGATTTCCATAAATATTATATATCAGGGCTACAAGATATAGAAAAAATCTGTCATTGTGATATTTAATTTTTCTGTGGTATGTATTGCGATATAATGCATCTATACAATTTCATCAAATGGTTGAATAGCCCTTCTTGAAATGAATTTATACTCACACATTATGTTAAGGCTCACTTCCCACTATTAATCAATGATTAACAACGACTTTTGCTTCTTCTAATTTGTTCCTTATTAATAGATTTTAAGGTAGCTTAGGTATTAGGTTAGGTTTTTTTTAAATGGTAAAATTACTCTGCAAAGTGTATGTATAAATGTATGAATATGTATAAATAAATTAATGGTAAAATATCTTGTGCCTGAACCCTTAAATCTCTCTTAGGCCTTAAAAGCATGCAAATGATACAATTTCCCTCCATTATGGTTAAACTCTGCAATAATTCCACAAATCTCATGTTCTGAACTGTGACTCTAGCTTAAATATAATCCCATCAAATCTATCACACTGTGATATCGATGCTAAAATGATATATTGTGCAGCCCTAATATACATGTTATTAAACTATTAGAATGATCATATTGTGTTCATGAACTACAGAAGATAAAACTAGTATTTAATAGTTACATAAAAACAACAATAAATAAAAGGCCCTACAAATAAACAACATACAATAAAAAGCCAGTTAATATTAAATTAAACTATTGAATAATGACTTAAAAAAACTGATATGGTTGTTAGACTGTTGCACTTTTTTGTGTTGTCCCTTCAAGGTGTGGGGGTCATGAGTCACTGGAATAGTTATTTTAGGGGTCGCAGGCTGAAAAGTTTGGAACCCCTGAGTTAATGCACAAACGACACCTCAACATTTCTGCTGTCTAAGTTGCTAATATTAAAATGAAAATAGGCAGTTCCTTAAATCATGTTTACATTTTATTGTTGAGAAAGTGAAACAACGTAGCCAGGGTGATGTGAATGAAGTTATAAAGTACACTGTTCCCTTTAAAGATTTACCCGTGTCCTCGGTATAGTCTGTTGTCCATATCAAACTGAGAAGAAGAGACTGCAGCCTTGATCAAACTTGCGAAGTCTGAACTTACAAGGAGAGGATGCAGGACTGAACTGTGTGTGTTAGGCTACTTAATAGTGAGGAAAAGCCCCAATCAGAGAGGCGAATGTCTGCAGCCCCGCCTCCGTTTTCAGATGTCTCTGTTTTCCATCATCCACACTGAGACGGAGCAGCAGCGCTTCAGAATGAAAACGGCCTCTCCAGCGTTTTCGAAACGCTCCGTTTTCGGCGCTCGAGAACTCCGGCGTAGTGTGGACGGTTGGCGTAACCGTAGCAAAACTTATGCGTTTTCAAACTAAAACGCATTAGTGTAAACAGGGCCTAAGTTAACATGAGCTACCAATGAACAACTGTATTTTCATCAACTATAGTTCACTAACATGAACAAATACTTTAAGTAATGCTTTATTCATTGTTTGTTTATGTTAGTAAATACATTAACTAACATTAACTAATACAACCTTATTGTAAAGGGTTACCAGTGTATTAAAAACACATACATACTGTAAAACCTAAACATTGAAGGTAACTCAAACCATTTGAGGAAACCGATTACAACAAACTATTTAAGTTCAAAAACTAATCCCAATGGGTCCTGTGAACTAACTTTATTTGAGTAAACGAAGCAATTTGAGCACAGTAAAACCCAATAAATGAAGAGAACTCAAAACAACTGAGTGCTGTAAAACCCAATAAGTTAAGGCAACTCAAATCGTTTGAGAAAATCGATTGAAAAAAACAATTTGTGCTAAAAACTAATCTAAATGAGTACTGTGAACTTACTCCATTTAAGCTGAAATAATGAGGTATTTGATTAACTCATTATCTTCAACACTGAGTTCAAAACTCTTTTCAAATGAGTAGAATTAACTAACTAAATTTATAGTTAACTACACTTATATTATTTGATAAAGTTGACTGTTGGGTTTTACAGTGTAAATATTTGACTAAATGTGGGACTCATTTGTCTAAATGTAATGTTCCAGAGGCAATAATCAGGAGTAGTGCTAAAATGTTTTGCAATATTTCAGCCAGTTAAAAAAAAAAAAAAAAAAAAAGAAAGGCAGAAAAGGGAGGGATTTTTTTTTTCTTAATTTTTTTCCATAATTTTTTCCCCCCATAAATTAGATGCAGTGCTCATGAAATATACTACCAGTCAAAACTACTGAATATGTATCCCTTTAAAATTATTATTATTTATTTATTAAAATAGTTTTCTATTTTAATATTTAAAAGTTTCATTTTTATTTTTTATTGCATTTTGTGTTACATTTTTTATGCCATATGATCCTTTAATAAATGCTTTGGAATGTTTTGTTTATTGCATCGTTTATTTAATAACTTCTGTTATTTTTATTCATGTTTCAATAGTTTATTTAAATTATGAATAAACTAATTAATAAACTGTAAATAGTTTTATAGTTTCAGTTTAAGTTATTGTTAAAAAAAATCCTTAATCAACGTTGACATTTTAAGCTAAGATTTAGCTTAAACTGACCAAAAATGACAGATTTTTATAAATGTTGTTCCTTAGATCTTTTTTCCTTATTTTTATCTTATAAAAACACTCCTTTACTTCTTTGAATATTTGCCAGTATATCATTAATAAGACCGTTTACCATCTTGTAACCTTTGATCCAACGTTTATGCGATTTGGGCTTTGGGGTTTGTATGTGCGAATGGTCGATAATAGGCTATAATATATTGTAATTTAGAGGCTCAGCAGTAAAAAAAATTCCCCTTGCTCTGCATTGTGTTCAACACAACACAACGCCTCTATCAGCATCCATTTACAGACCCTAAAAAAATGAAAAGTCTCTGCTGAATTACTTCATTTTCCATCTTTCTTAATCGGCCCATTTCTCTGTATCCTAAACTAGCTCCCTTTGTTTTCGTTGCTTAACTAACCAGCATAATTTTATCAAAAGTTCTCTGAAATGAAGTGCTAAGTGTCGGCTTTTATTGAAAGGAAACAGACTGGAACAACACGTGTGTTTTCTCAGGCCTGTAAAGACTCCTCTGCTCCTCAGGCCAAATTCTTCTGATGAATTACAACCTGAATTACAACCGATGCATCTTCACTACAGACCCCAACCTGCTGAGAGATGCTTGAAATCCACTGCTAATGAGTGTGTGTGATGCTTGTGCAGGTCGCTGAAAAGCATCGCAAAAGCCTGGTCCTAATTTGGCTACATTTGTGCTGTTTTAATGTACATATTAAACGCATTGCCAAACTTAACAGCAGCCATGCTCTCAGTGTGTGCTTCACTGAACAAAAGACTGTGCTAATCCACCGTTAACTGTAAACGAGTGCATGAAATCTACTGACAATGCCAGGTTTCATAAGCATGCATACACGTATAAATGGCATATTATGTGTTTTAAATAAATTAGTTACAGGTTTTTAGCTTTTTTTTTTTAAATAAAAATATCTTCTTTTTGTGCTTAACAGAATAAATAAATAAAGAGTAAATAAATACTGAGTAAATTGTCATTTTGGGTGAACTCTCTCTTTAAAGGCTTTTATAATATTTTGTTTTATAATAAGATACACTTCCTGACAGAAGTCTTGTTGTCGATCTCAGCTGTAAGAGCAACTAATAATAACTGGACTTCCAGTTGATCATTTGGAAAAGTAGCAGTGGATGACCTATTGGAACCTGCATGGAGCAAAGATTCTCACAGAAATCAAATCAATCAAGTTTGGTAAAAGAAAATCATGGTTTGGGGTTACATTCAGTATGGGGGCATGCGAGAGATCAGCAGAGTGGATGGCAACATCAACAGCCTGAGGTATCAAGACATTTGTTCTGCTCATTACAATACAAACCACAGGAAAGGGCAAATTCTTCAGCTGGATAGCGTTCCTTCTCATACTTCAGTCTCTATATCAAAGTTCCTGAAAGCAAAGAAGGTCAAGGTGCTCCAGGATTGGCCAGCCCAGTCACCAGACAAGAACATAATTGAGCATGTCTGGGGTAAGATGGAGGAGGCATTGAAGATGAATCCAAAGAATCTTGATGAACTCTATTCAGCCCTATAAGAACGCTTTCTTTGCCATTCCAGATGACTTTATTAATAAGTTATTTGAGTCATTGCAGAGATGTATTGATGCAGTCCTCCAAGCTCATGGGAGTCATACACAATATTAACTCCTTTTCCACTGCACCATGACTTTATATTCTATACTGTACATTATTTCTGTTATGTGACAAGACTTTTGACTAAGAAAAGTCAGACTTTATGGTCCTAATTAAATAATTAAAAATCAAGGCATGATCATATTTTATTTTGATAAAATAAGCGTAATTTAGAGGCCTTTACCTTTTATATAAGCCACTTCTGATACTAAATGATTAACTAGAAATCAACTGATTATTTTTTGTTCCTAAAACTTGTATATGTGACAAGACTTTTGTCAGGTAGTGTATATTGTGTGAAAATACAATACAAATCTGTCCTATAAATGAATGCATCGCATAATAATAATTTATTATATTTATACTTGAATAACAACAACAGCCATCTTGTTGCAAAATGTTTTGTGTTTATGTACATGTGTGATGCCCAATAAACTGTTCCTATTTCCCCCCCTTTTTTGGGCACATGGCTTCAAGATACTATCAGCCGTGCCACATCAAACCCAAGCGCTGCAGCTGGCAGTGTGGTTAAAAAGTGTGTGTGTGTGTGTGTGTGTTTGTTGGAGAGTGTCGGTTGCCAAGAAACCAGTATTTAATAAAGTCATCGGGTCTGAGATGGGAAAGAAACCGCAGCTCAACTCAAAGCCTATAAGAAATCGACAAATGCCACCCCACATCCGCATTCACTTTCCTCTCACTCTCACTCAGTGAACAACACTGTGCTTGAAAGCAGATCTACAAGAGAAGAACCACAACGAAAATCCAAGGTTTGAGCGTATGTATGCGTCTTGTGTGTGTGTGTGCGTGTGTGTGTGTGCGTGTGTGTGTTTGTGAGACTGAGTGAGTGTGTTTTCACTCTCTGATATTTCTGTGTGTTATGTTGTTAATGGCACACCTTGTTTGCCAGGCAGAAACAGCCAATTAAAAGCAACTCGTGTTAAACTGGGTCCATTTTCAGCGGTGTGCCTCCAGGAGCCACAAAAACACTCTTCAATGTGTGAGTGTGTGTCTGTGTGGGACGGGGATTTACACCTCACTAATGATGTGTGAGTTTAATACTCTGAGCTGTTTTCAGCTTCACATGCAACAGGTTAACGCCTTCAGTGCCGTGCTTTCTCAACAATGTGCTCTATGAACTGACTTTTCACACTAGAACAAAGGCTTCAATGGCGAAACTTTCACTTCACTGCATTGCAAAGCATAATATTGAACTTTTTATTGCTCTAGATTTTGCAAACATTCAGAAGTAAGATGTACATGGCAGTGTTTTGTTTGTGAACACAGGCTGATTCTTTTAGTTAATCTGTTTAATGATTATACCCAGTGAACTACTGATACAAACTTACAGGTAAGAGCTGGTCTCCATGATTTAGTAATAGCAAGTCTCCAGTTAACGATTCACTGTTTTAATATGAATCAGTCACTGCAAGTCTCTAGTTAGTGTCTCACTGTTTTGAATGAATCAGTCAGAGCAAGTCTTCAGTTAATGAATCACTGTTTCAAATGAATTAGTCAGCACAAGTCTCCAGTTAATCATTCACTGATTCATATGAATCTTCCAGAGCAAAATCTCCAGTTAATGATTCATTGTTTCTTATGAATCAGTCATAGAAAGTCTCCAGTTAATGATTAACTGTTTCATATTAATCAGTCAGACCAAATATCCAGTTAATGATTCACTGTTTCAAATGAATCAGTCATAGACAGTCTCCAGTTAACGATTCACTGCTTCATATGAATCAGTCAGAAAAAATCTTGTTAACGATTCACTGTGTTAGAATGAACCAGTCAGAGCAAATCTCCAGTTAATGATTCACTGGTTCATATGAATCAGGCATAGACAGTCTTTAGGTAATGATTCTGACTGATTCATATGAGACAGTGAACAAGTCTTCATTTAAGGATCCACTGCTTCAAATAAATTAGAGCGAATCTCCAGTTAAGGCAATATGGTGGTGTAGTGGGCAGCACGTTCGCCTCACACCAAGAAGGTCGCTGGTTCGAGCCTCGACTGGGTCAGACTGTTTCATACGAATCTGTCAAAGCAAGTCTCCAGTTAAAGATTCACTGTTTCAAATGAATCAATCAGAACAAGTTTCCAGTTAATGATTCACTGTTTCATATGAATCTGTTAGAACAAGTCTCCAGTTAATGATTCACTGTTTCAAATGAATCAGACAAAATAAGTTTCCAGTTAATGAATCACTGTTTCATATGATTCTGTCATAAGTCTCTAGTTAAGGATTCACTGTTTCATATGATTCTGTCAGAACAAGTGTCCAGTTAACGATTCACTGGTTCATATGAATAAGTCATATACAGTCTCCAGTTAATGATTCTGACTGATTCATATGAAACAATGAAGTCTCTAAATAAGGATTCACTGCTTCAAATGAATCAGCCAGAGCAAATCTCCAGTTAACGATTCCCTGTTTCAAATAAATAAATCAGAGCAAGTTTCCAGTTAATGATTCACTGTTTCATATGAATCTGTCAGAACAAGTCTCCAGTTAATGATTCACTGTTTCAAATGAATCAGACAGAAGAAGTCTTCAGTTAATGAATCACTGGTTCATATGATTCTGTCATTAGTCTCCAGTTAACGATTCACTGGTTCATAAGAATAAGTCATATACAGTCTCCAGTTAATAATTCTGACTGATTCATATGAAACAATGAAGCCTCCAATTAAGGATTCACTGCTTCAAATGAATCAGCCAGAGCAAATCTCCAGTTAACGATTCACTGTTTCAAATGAATCAATCCAGGCCCGGATTGGCTAATCGGGAGGACCGGGAGAATTCCCGGTGGCCGGTCCGTTTTTTGGCCGCGAGGGCCGGTGTCCCTAGCTCCAAAATCTGTTGCTCTCAGCAGTCACACTTTTTAAATTAATTTATTTACTTACTTGACTACAGTCTTCTTATTTATTATTTTACCGCAGCTCTGCTCTGCCTACAGGTTAATGATGATATTACTCAGATGAGTCAACCCTTCATATACAACAGTTGTGGTCCAGTGGTTAGCACGTTAGATTACGACGCCGCCGACCCGGGTTTGATTCTTGTCTGAGTATGTTTTTTTTAATTATAGTTTTATTGTTAAGACATATAATACTGTTAGGGTTTTTGAACATTTAAAGTTCTAAAGCAGCTGTTTTCTCAAAAAAAAAAAAAAAGACGTGATAGTGTAATTAGAAACTGAATTGGAAATGACCTTATTTTAATATAGTCATGCGTGAACTGAGGTGGGCCGGTCTAAGGCTTGAAACTCCAGGGCTGAAAAAGAGTCCCACTCCGGCCCTGAATCAATCAGAGCAAGTTTCCAGTTAATGATTCACTGTTTCAAATGAATCAATCAGAGCAAGTTTCCAGTTAATGATTCACTGTTTCAAATGAATCAGACAGAAGAAGTCTTCAGTTAATGAATCACTGTTTCATATGATTCTGTTATTAGTCTCCAGTTAACGATTCACTGGATCATATGAATAAGTCATATACAGTCTCCAGTTAATGATTCTGACTGATTCATATGAAACAATGAAGCCTCCAATTAAGGATTCACAGCTTCAAATGAATCAGCCAGAGCACATCTCCAGTTAATTAATCACTGTTTCAAATGAATTAGTCAGCACAAGTCTCCAGGTAACGATTCACAGTTTCAAATGTACCTGTCAGAGGAGCAAGTCTCCGGTTAAGAACTCACTGTTTCCTATGAATTAATTATAGAAAGTCTCCAGTTAACAATTGACTGTTTCATATGAATCTGTCAAAGCAAAATCTCCGGTTAACGATTTACTGTCTGTTTTAAATGAATGCAAGCAAGTTTCCAGTTAATGATTCACTGTTTCAAATGAATCAACCGGAGCAAGTTTCCAGTTAACAATTCACTTTCGAATGAATCAGTCAATCCAGACCAGTCAGAATGAGTTTTAATGACTCACAGACTAAAATGATTCAGTCAGAACGATTATCCAGATAATCATTCACTGCTTCAAATTATAAAAGTGAAAGTGACCCAAAAATCTTCTAAATGAATACACAACTTAAAACAGCATTAGGAACTACCTGCTGACAAAAAAGCATTTTAAATACATATTTATCTACGTTTGAAAATTTAAAACATAAAAAAAACTTAAAATACCCTTTTTGGAAAGTATAGAAGTAATCCAAAATGCTGCATTCTTATGTACATATTCAACACGTGAACTACTTATAAACACTTAACATGATATTTGTTATATTTTCAGGTTATGTGTGAAAATCCAGTCATAAAAGAGAAAGAAAAGGAGGCAAATTCCATTATTTGAATCAGGTCACTGCTTGAACACAGCGAGGTTAAATGGAGTAAGACTGGCTGCGAGGAACATCGTTAGCACATTGGCATGACGGGTTTCAGTAATTAGGGGGTGTGGCCTCACATCACCAATCGCCCTGCTGTGTTTGGTGCGTCCTGCTGATTTACAGTGTGTAGACTAAGATGTGGCTGTTTTAGCAGGTCATAACTCGCTACACACACATATACAGACACACTGGCTAAATGAGTGCCAAGTGGGCTCACATACACACACGCACACACACACATGGCAGGCTTATGGATGCCAGACACACACGCTCCCCACACCAGCTTCACCTGGCTGTTTTTTTGTTCCCTCTCACACTTTTCCTTCCTTTGCAATCCCAGAGTGAAAACAGAGGCCAGTACACTAAGCTGTCCTAAATACCTGGACTGTGACCCAGACTATGAGGAGCTGCGGAGGAAAAGGAGAAGAAGGGTAATGAGGCTACAGCTTCATGTTGTGCTGGTGTTAATGTGCTGATGTGTTGTTTTCTTGCTGCAGTAGCACACCGAGTGAAGCGAGATTTTAAAAACCTGATTTAATATGGATGTTCAAAGAGATCCTTTTATATCTTTATTTTCATACAACAGATTATTCTGTTTTACAAATTTGACTGGCTGAGATTTAGTTTAAGTCATGCAATATTCTACTAGCATCACCACAGGAATTGTTTACCATTTGTTTCCCTCTACTTGAAGCATTTCTCATAGTGAGTCATGGCAGAACCACTATACGTTGACTAATTTTTACTGCTTTTCTGTTACAGATTCTGTTACAGTTTTAAAAGATTTTTCAGCAGAAAGAAATGGTCATTCAAGCTTTAGATATTTATAAAACTTTGTGTTTTAGAGATTTTGCATTATATAGAGTCATTTCTCTAGTAGTTAAATAAAACAAAAATATTTAGACTAAATCGGGTTAATTTAATTAAAAAATTTAGGTTAAATCCAGTTAATATTTTAGGAACTCATTAGTATGGAAATTCCAAAGTCATATTTGGGTGATATAAAGACAATACGTTTCTTTTTTTTCTGACATTAAAATACAATCCAAATCCCTCACATTTTGAGGCCCACCGCAACGTGATGTAAGAGTTCGGTTTCCCCGCCCACTGATTCGATTGACAGCCACGTATTAACATGTCTCCGCAGTAATGCGTATAATCATATCAACAAGACAGGACGTATACGCAAAGCAACTGGGATTAAAACATTTGCTCAGCTTTCTGTGATCACCTGCACCTCAAGAATGTGTTTACAGCTTTAAACATTTTTAAAACAGTGCATGTTTGTAATAAATACAGTAAAATCACTTCAGAATTCATTGCCATAGCCACATACTGTCAGCACAATTATAAAAAAAGACACTTCAATTCCAGTTTGTGGACTTATATCAGGTTTATTTTGTAAGCTAACATAACTGAGATGCATACAGCAGTGGATATTAACATGTAATCCGGCACATTTGTAATGCAAAAACAACGTGCAAAGTGTGTGTGTGTGCTACGTTGTGTGTGACTCATCATTGCAGAAAGGCTTGAATTACCTCAACAGTTACATCAAATAATCATTGGGAAAGTTCTTGTTGAAGTAAGGTAGATCTGTTTTATTCTTGCCTGTCACTGTAATGTTTATCCATGTAAGACACAGCAGGTGAAAGCTACGCCCATAAGAGAGATCTCTATGGCTCTGACACACATGTGGGAACGGTGGGTGAGAAGAACGAGCTTATTTGCCTTAATTAAAGGCAAAAGGCAACAAAAACAGCAACAATGTTCTAACAGTGGAAATTTCCCAGATTTAAAAAAGTATAACAAATAATCTGATGGGTGTTTTAAGCTGAAACAGACACATTCTGGAGACACAAAAAACTTATCTTAAATCTTGAAAAAGAGGGAAAACAGGTGCGCTTCAAAGGTGCCATAGAATGATACAATGTATTAAAATCCACTTAGAAGTATTAGGTATAAAGTGCAAAAACAATCTCCAGAAATGACTTTGCATGTCCATTTCCAACCCTAATATTTCCCTTTTAATATATATATTTACACACTCTAAAATACTAAAATAAATACACTCAATGATGGGCTAGACATCTGGAAATCTGCAGATTTCAGTACACGCAGATTCCATGTTGGCCTAAGCATTACCATTGAAATGCTGGTCGTGTATTCAAAATAAAAGTCCCAGATACATAGCCATAACACAATATAAGGAATTTCACTAAGAAACATTGTGGCCAATCAAATTCTGTACATAAAAATGATCCTGAGTTCTGTAATAAATTCCATTGTTCCAAGCCTTGTCTTAAAAATATAAATATTTAATTGACCACAGGATTTTCAATAGATTTTCAGTGATCAGCTGCTTTTCCTGGTGGTGCTTACTTTTAAACTGCTTTTCATTTCATTTTATGCTTGAACAACTAATTAAATGCTTAGGTCTAGTAAACTGACTATTTTCATTAAATTGCATTATCTTTCTGTTGCAGCATTTACTGTTCAATTTACACCATCACCTTGATTACAATCCATATCCATCAAAGCTACTAGCAAGAAGCTGGATTGCTTTATCCAGCATATTTGTTACATTAGTGCTGTTTATTAGATGCATTAAAAAATTAAAAAATAAATAAAACGTTCTATTGAAGTCATCCCAGACCACATGAACCCATTTAATCAGGGATAAATTGACGTCAAACACTCAAAATTGCCATGTCTTCATTTCTTTAAAGCTAATTTGTATTTAGATCTTCCTCCTGTGGGAGACACGTGATGACAAGAGGACTTCTTTGTGTCTGTGTAGGTTTTCATCTAAAAAAACCTTAAGCTGCAGAGACAACAGTGATGCAGGTGCAAGGCTAAGGATCACAGACCACACACATGGAAAGAAACATCATCATCATCATCAGGCACACTGATGTTCATTTGCACAAAAGTTTCTTCTTGATTGAAGCGCAGTCCATGACCATAAAAAGTAAGGGGGAGCGATCCTTATGACAATGAGATCACTTATTTTCTAGCTCAGGCACATGCTTCTATTCACACATGCATTAAACACACACACACATGCACATCTCCATCTCTCTGTGAAGTTCAGACCATCATGCTTGAGTGCACAGAACAAGTTCGGGTCGAGCTTCAAATCCCACTGGAGAGCAAATTAAAAACGACTGCTTCAAGAGCTGGTTAAAATTCTTAGGTTTTATTACTCCTTTCTCTCACAGAGCTGTTGACAAAAAAAGAGAGAGAAGAAAGCAGGGAGAAGTGCAATGTCGAAAGCCAGAAGTAATTCCGCATAGGCATTTTACGATGGAAACTTCAGTGAAATGTAATTTCAATGCTCGTTCGCTCCAGAAAGCAAAGTCCCATATCGTATCAGAGAGAAAAAGTGTATGTGTGTGCATGTCAAAAAAAAGAGAGAAATGGGGAGCACTGATCTGTCTTTATATCTATCATATGTCAGTGAAAATAGCATCACAAATATTAATGTCTTCCCATTTTTATAAATAGTTTGCATTCTCAGTTTTGTTGCTATGATGTTATAATTAATTATTTATTTATTTATTTATTATCTGTAAAATACATGACTAGATTCAAAATATTTAGCAATATTTAAAAATGGAAATAAAAAGAAAGGTTTACAATTTGTAATAATAATATAATAATAATAACAACAACAACAACATCAACAACAATAATAATAATAATATTATTATTATTATTAATTTGAATTATTATTATACATTATATATTATTATTATATTAATATAATATTTTGTTCAGTTTTGTTGCGATATGTTGTCTGTCTTCACCTTGATTTACACAGTGTTGTCATTTTGGTTTAGTCACATGTCTGTTCTAATTGATGTCTGTAATCATTCATTCCCTTTCCTCATGTTTCCCAACAGAGGTTTGGTAGAAAAACAAGTAGGTAATTAGAGCACATGACCGATTTCAACACATAGAAGTTCAACCTTTGTTTCAAAAGTTGATAGTGTAGTTCAGGTAAGGTTATGTTTGGACATTGAAGATTTAATTTTCATATTTTTTGTGTACTAAAGTAGGTTAGAGGGGATTTGAAATTAGTAAGACTGTTTTGGTTTTGATTGTTTCTTTGCTTGAGCACCACCCATAGCGAGTCTTTCTAATTTATATTTTGGTTGTTGATTATAAATATTGTAAAAAGCTTACTCACTTCTTCACTTCTCAGCACCTGTAATAAATCACATTGTTTTACAGCAATTTTTGTATGTGGTTGTAACTTTGAGTACAATTCTTTTTGAGTGTTTGTTTGAACCAGATCCCCTAGATTGCCCAGGGGTTGTAACAAAAAAATAAATAATAATAATAATAATAAAATAATACCTTTTTTAATGGGGTCCAAAAAATTCAAGGCCACAAAGAAAATGTTTGCTTATTTTCAATGTGAAAATAAGTAAGCTTTAGAATTTTGGAAATAAAATAAATAATTACACTTAATGGCTCAGTGGTTAGCACTGTCGCCTCACAGCGAGAAGGTAATATGATTTATTTATTGCGAGACGTGTTGGCGTGAGTTTCCTCCGCGTGTTCCAGTGTCCTACACTGTCCAAAGACATGTGCTGTAGGTGAATTGAATAAACTAAATTAGCTGTATGTATATGTGTGACAGTGTGTATGGATGTTTCCCAGAACTAGGTTGCAGCTGGAAGGGCATTCGCTGTGTAAATTATATGCTGGATAAGTTGCCGGTTCATTCCGCTGTGGTGACCCCTGATGAATAAAGGGACTAATCCAAAGGTAAATGAATGAATGAATAATATTGACACTACCTTTTTAAATAGGGTCCAAAAAATTCAAGCCAACCTGGAAAATGTTTGCTCTTTTTCAATGTGAAAAGAAATAGGGAAAAAAAATGAAGAATTACACTTAATGACTTTCCTGAAGTCAAACATAAATAGAATTCCACATAAAATGACATGGTAATAATACTGTATACCAAAATAGAAGCATTTTTATGGCTGGTGTCAAACCTTTAAAGAGCCCATATTATGGGTTTTTGAAAATGACCTTCCATGTAGTGTGTAACAGCTCTAAGTAAAGTGAAATATCCAGCTAAGGCTTAGATCTGAAAGTGCACAGCGTTTAAAACTATTGATTCATTTATAAAAGAGTCGACTAATAGTACTTTAAATGAATCACCTTGATAACGAGTGTTGGCAGGTATGCTCACACATACACTATGCACTCTGACTACTACTTCTGTTTTGGGCATTTCAGTGTCTCGCACTGAATGCTGTCAGTGTCGATCAATCGTATAGGCTGTCAACGGTCCAATCAGCACAGATTAGCTTCGCTAATCCCCATACCAATCGGGGGTTGGGAACAAATGAATCGGTGAACGATGGGAGTCGCTGGGATAATTCTGTGAAAATAGTTGCATATTATAAGACCATGAACTTGTTTTTTGACCTTGCACGCATATCAGCCTGTTGTTGGAGACCCTTACAACCAAAATATGACCCTATTTCATGTATAATAGGGGCTCTTTAAGACTTACTGTATGCTGCAATTGTTTTTTTTAAAGATAAAGGAAACACTGTCCTTTAATATTTTCAGTTCTAATGTGTTTGGGTGGTTTGAGAGCATCATCTGCTGCATGAACCAGAGGCCCTGAGCGGATCAACAGCCCAGGATTGTAAGCGTGTCTGTAAGAACAGTCCCGATTAGCTCAACCCTGCTTACTAGAGACCAGAGACAAAGTGTCTGACATGATTTATGACTGCCGGACACCCTGGAAAATCTAACAGGATTTCATGGGATTGTTAAAATCCAGGGCTTTGCATCATCTGGGATCAATACATTGAATTTTCATTTCCTTCCACAATAGAGTGTTTCTATTGTTAAAATGTATTTTAAAATGTTTTACTGTGTTTAGTATTTTCTTCTTATTATTATAATCATTATTACAATTATTATTATTATTATTATAAAATAGCAATAAACAAATAATCATGATTACTTATTTTACAATTTTGAATGATTGTATATAATTATAACGATTAAAAAATGTTTAAAGCTTGAAGCTTAAGTGTTTCTATTGTTAATATGTATTTAAATTTTTATTTATTATTATTATTGTTATAATTGTTATTATTTTTTTTAATTATTATTATTATTATTATTACTATAAAATTGCAATATACAATTCATATTAATTACCTATTTTACAGTTTTTAATGATTGCATTTAATTAGAATTATAATAATTAATAAAAATGTTTTTTTTTACTTACATTGTGGTCCATAAATTCAAGCTTAAGTGTTTCTATGGTTATTATGTATTTTTAAATGTTTTTTTTGCAATTATTGTTTATAATAATACACACAGCACAACATTTTATTATTATTATTATTATTATTATTATTATTATTATTATTATTAAAAATAGCAATAAATAAATCATAGTAAATAATCATGACTGCCTATTTTACAATTTTGAATGATTGTATATAATTATAATAATTAATAAAATGTTTTTTTTTATTTACATTGGGCCCATACATTCAAGCGTAAGTGTTTCAATTGTTAATATGTATTAATTCAACTTTTTTTTTGTAATTATTGTTTATAATAATACACATAACACAACATATTATTTATTTTATTATTTTTATAAGTATTATTATTATTGTTATTATTGTTACAAATAACAATAAATAAATCATATTAAATAATCATGATGACCTATTTTACAATTTTGAATGATTGTATATAATTAGAATTAAAATAATTAATGATAATGTTTTTTAATTTACATTGGAGTCCAAAAAAAAAAAAAAAACTGCAAGTGTTTCTATTGTTTTTATTATTGTTTTATTTTATTGTTTTTTTTGCAATTATTGTCTATAATAATACACATAACACAACATATTATTTATTTGTTTATTATTATTATTGTTGTTGTAGTTATTATTATTATTATTATAATAAATCAGCAATGGATAAATTCTATTAAAATAATCATGATTATCTATTTACAATTTTGAATGAGTGTATAAAATTATAATAATTAATAATAATGTTTTTTTTTTTTTTTTTACATTGGGTCCATACATTCAAGCTTAAGTGTTTCTTTTGTTGATATTGATATATGTTTTTAAATAGTTTTTGTAATTATTGTTTAAAATAATACACAACACAACCTATTATTTATTCAATATTATAATTATTATTATTGTTGCTGTTATTATTATTATAAAATAGCAATAAACAAATCATATTAAATAATCATGATTACATATTTTACAATTTTGAACGATTTTAAATGATTACAATAATTAATAATAATGTCAAAAAAATCAAAAATCAAAATAAAATTAAATATGTAAAAAATGTAAAACTATCTTATTTTTAGAGTGTTTTACATAATTCATTTGATTAATTCTAAAACCTTTACTTGAACTAAATTTTGTTATGCTCATAATATCATTTGCAAAAAAATAAAAATAAAAAATGTGTACAAAAACAAGCATTTCGGTTCATGCTTTCAAGCTTGAAACTCCCTGTGCACTGCAATTATTTTACAAATGAAAATAAAACATGACTCATTTTTATAAGCGGCCTGCTTTGACATTCCTCTTAATGTCTGATGATGGCGCCACACAGCCAGCATGAGGGGATCTGGACAGCAGCCGTTCTCCCTCTTCAAACATTAATATTCCCTCGCTCTTACTCTCTCAACAGGGTTAGAAGTGACTGCAAGAGTCTCAGTATTTGACATTTAAATAAGTATTCAATTCAGGCACAAACAAACATCACTGCACTGTCCACATTACAGCCATCGGATGTGAAGACAGAGGCCAAAAACATGGAAATAAACAACATACACCGGACATTATGACTACCAAATGAATCATCCCCATTTTAGCCAATGAACAAACCAAACCCAAAGCTGTCTGGCAACTTCTTTCACTTCATCCATCAAATATAAGCCACCGCACTGCTGTGTCCTCAGTGCCTGGTTTTATATATAAATATATATTATATATATATGTATGTATATTGCATTTTCATAATAATACAGACATAAGTTTAAATTTAACAACTTTATTAATCCCACCAGGGGCAATTAAATTAGGACAGTAGCATCATAATACAACAAACACATGAAGAGACAAATCAATCAATAAATAAATAGATAAACAAAAAAGACCCATACGTTAAAAATGTAAAACTTGCTAAATGTAAGATTATAAAGTCTTATTGCCTCAGGAATAAAGGTGAGTTTATATCAGTTAGAAGAGCATTTAATGCTTCTAAACCTTCCAGAGGGCAACAATACAAAAAAATAAAGGCTTCAGAAGATGGGAACAATCTATTACACTTTAAATTTTTCCTTATCAGTTGCTGTTCATGTAGACTTCACAGAGGCAAACCAATATTCTTGGAGCAAGTCTTGACTAAGTTTTGAAGGCGATTTTTGTCTCTTACAGAAAGTGAGGAAAACCAGCATTAAAAGGAAAAGCTTAGTACAGGGATCACCAATCTCGGTCCTGGAGGGCCAGTGTCTCTGCAGGGTTTAGCTCCAACTTTTTTCAACAGACCTGCCTGAGTGTTTCAAGTATGCATATAAGACCCTGATTAGCTGTTCAGGTGTGTTTGATTAGGATTGGAGCTAAAATCTGCAG